GAACGGGTTGTCCCTATATTTCTATGTTCCTCGCATGAGCCACCTCCTACCGCTCTGATGGTCCCAACAGTCAAAGGTCATGCTCATGGGTGCTCTGACCGCATATACCGCCTCTCTTTGTCGTCGTGGGTTCGAAGACTTGGAGTCAACTAGCCAACTCTTACTTACTTACTGGTTGTCGGAATGAACAACCATTTTTAAAAGTAGACACTGTAAGTAAACGTTCTCCAATAATTTGAGCAAGATAAATATTTTATATTGATTAGTTTTCCTAAGAAACACAGTGATATGCTAACATCGACACATTCAAGCCATTACGTCTCTTGTTTGCCTATTCGAGAAATGTAGTACGTATGGGGTGCGTTATGTGTCAAGTTGATACGTCGTTTGACCATTCAAGAAATGTAGTATATATGCTGGACAACGCGGCAACCAAACTCCATTTTGCCGGGATCTTTGTTATCCAACTCATGTGATGAATGAAACACGTTAGGTTTTACACCATTCCCTCACATTTACAATGGTGTGCCCCATTCCCCTACATTAACAACATAGTCTATACCCATTGTGCTCGTGTTTATAACGCCAAAACAAACACCTTTTATACCCTTTGAAATTCCTGTGAAAATTCTCTAGTCGAGGAGGAAGCCTAAACATCGTAACAAACTTTTCGTCTCTATTGGGTGAGTACATGACAACTAGTGTAACACATAATTTTTCTGACATATCATCTCTTGGCACAAAATCCCTCAACACAGTGACGCAACCTCGAGTAGGATTAACTCTACATAAACACAAGGCACATCCACCTCCTTCGTCTGTGCCCCCCTCCTCCAACCCGTGGTGTGATGGTTCCTCTTCTTGCCCCTGCGCTCAGTTTTTGATCAACGGGTCGACATTTTGTGTGATGATTGCGCTTGGTTCTGGTTTAACCGTGGTGTTCTTTGCCATCTTGTTTTTATGCTTGTGCATGCACTCTTGAGAAATGGGTGTATGTGCGATTGAAAATGACTTTGTATATTCTTGGATATTGCTTTGGTTTCGTTTGTGTTAATGGTGCTTTTTCTAGTTATTGTTTTCTTAAATGGAGAGGGTCACACACATACATCTATTTCTGTACTGATTTAGTGTGCACACACATAGATGGGGAAAGAGCCAATCTGTAGATATAGCGTTCTATACTTGCTACACTTGATGACTCCATTGCTTGGTTCCTTTGGTGTTGCGCTTGTCGCGTTGAGGTGTTTGATTTCTAGTGTTCCTATTTTCAGTGAGATGGTGAACAACATGCTCAACAAATCATACCGTTTGTGTTGATGATCTGTGTTGGTATATATGTTAAGGATAGAAAACACGTGTAGGGTTACTTTGTACCATGGAGCATGATTTGCATCTTGGTTTCTTGACAAGCTCCATCTGTCGCGGTGCTTTGTTTTCCTGCTTAACTGAGAGATGTGATAGATCATGGCATTCGGAACATGCATGCTTCCATGTCTTTTTTGTTGCACATGGCGTGGAAACTGATGAGCATAGCTCAAAAATTCTCTAATGCAACATATATTTGTGATCTCAAAGCATTTGGGTCATCTACAATGCTAGCAATTCGATTCAGTTTAAATGATCGAGTCTTTGTGGAACAAAAAGGCAACACAACCTTGACCACTTATTATATTAACTATTTTTTTTACTTTGACTAGTTTTATGTATTAAAATTATCAAAATTCATAAATATAAAGACACCTAAATTTTATATTCGTATAAAAAATATTTGTTTCCCTTCTTGACACATGACATTTGCTAACCTATTTGACCAACCGAGTCAACCGACAACCGATGGGGATTTTGACAACCTCCCCCTAGGCCCTAGCCTCCTGGTTCTTTGCAGGCATGGTGGGTCTCATGGTCCCAAGAAACTAGGATTGCACTACCCCCGCCCCATGTTAAGGAAAGTCATAGACAAGACACCTACAAATTATGCATGTGCGAAATTTCCACACCATGGATCCTATCAAGTTTTTGAAATTGTACTATGCATCCCGAGGCGAAGGTGAACGTGAAGGGAAATGCGGTAGGCTAAACTAGTGCAAAACAAAAACAAATCTACCATGTACGCCCAAGAGCATTGTAGTTAGAGATCACGAGTTTTGGGTTTACCACTAGATTCGCAGTTTCGTCTGTGGAAGTAAAGTTGACGAAGCGCACTTACCATCCTCCCTTTGCGAGTCCGCTGAAAGATCCATCCATCCAAGCATCTCACATGTGCAATGCCTCCAAGGTACTAGGTAGAACGTTGCTTGCCCCGACTGCTAGATGGGCTACTTTAGGCAAGAGAGAAGTTGTGGCTAGGTTTCAGGATTACTAACTGGCAAACACTTAAACGCATATCCCTTCTTTTTATATAGACAATTTTTATAATGGACTTCCATGTTAGAGGCTCCACCCACTGGAAGTGTGCAACCCTTATAAGTTTAGACACATTTGGACATGTCCTGATTACTCCTACTTGGTCACTTGTTGGTAACAACCCCTAGCAGGATGCGCCAACTCCCAAACGCACATAAAGATCATATCGGGCGAACCCACATAATGTTGCATACATGCTATTTTTCTTTTTCCTCACGATATTGGTCAAGCTCAAGCTTGACTACGCCTTCTCGATCACATGACTAAGAGTTCTTTAGTAGGTTAAACTTGTAGGATGTCCATGCATTTCGAGATCCTATATCTCAGGGACCGCAAAAAAATACATCTCATTTCAGAGAGGGACAAATCTCATCTCTACTAACCATGTTCCATGACAAATAACAAAACAAACTTTATAACCACACAATTACACATTTATGGTTAAGTATTTCTCCTTTTCTTTTTTCGAGTTGACCTGTAAGCAAGTTACTACCTCCTCCCGGGTTTATTAGTCCTCATTGTATTTGTGTCATACTTTGACCATATATTTGACCAGCAAAAATATAAGTGAAATGTTACCAAAATTATAGTGTTAGATTCATACACGGCAATACTTTCCAATTATAGTATTTTTGCTAAATATAACTTATATTGTTTAGTAGAATTTATGGTCAAACTTTGACCCAAAATACAAAGGGGGTTAATAATCCCGGACAGAGGTAGTACTACGCATCTCAATTACATGCATTATCTCCATTTGCATGAGCTAAGAAAATGGTCATGGATGAATACCCGTGCTAGTCTAATATTCAAGTGTTCTCGCATGAACCCTAGTCTAATATTCATGTGTTCTCACATGAATCCTAAGCAAGGGCTACTTTAGAATAACTATTCAAGCATTGAGTCTCTACTATTTAAAAAACAAATAGCTTTCCTTTTTTCTGCCAGGTTGAATTCTTCTTCAATCGCCCCCCCCCTCCCCCCCTCTCACCATGTCTCCATCCATATTTTATCCAGACGGGGTTTTCATCAGCAATTTGCCTGCATCTTTCCAGTACGCCAGTCAATCACATTAATTTACTTACCTTATGTAGCTCTATATGAACTCCACTTTAATTAACTTACCCTTTCACAATTATGTGGAATTACGCAGCTCCATTCCACGTTATATTAGACTGCATCTGCCCGCAGGGCGCTCGGTGACATTAATTTAATTACCATGCATGACCTAGGTTATCAAATTATAATGACGTGAGAATCAAAGTTCTAATTCTTGGTGCTTCGCGCCCGCCCGCCCCGTGTTATAATCCTTTTGATTTTTTCATGCGTTGGTCGCTTGATTCATAGGATTGAATTTTGTAGGATTTTTTCCTAATGAATTATTCTACTGCATATCGTATGAACTCTAGCATCCACTCCATCCTCATTTTTACAATTCCTCTTGTTTTTCCTATGAAATCAAATACTCCGTGCTAATGTCGTAGGATTCAAGTGGGCATACCACTCCAATCTTATATATTTCATGTTCCTACGTTTTTATGAATCCTGCAAACCAAAGAGGGCCTTATCATTTCTACAATTGTCTCTAAGCCATGTATTCCAAAAAAAGGCGACAAGTGTTGCAACCATCCGCCGTCAGCCTGAAGGGACTGCTACACGTGCTGAAAGTATCCATTCATTTCCCATTTTGAAGTGTATCTGAATATTTCCTCCTCTTCGCAAGTCCACGGCGGGGAAAGGTCTAGATATCGGCATGGGCACTTGGGGCAGTGGTGGCCGTGGTTGGTGCCGAAACGGGTTTGAGGCTGAACCGCTGAAGCTTCGCTCGCGAGCCGGCCGGCCGGTCGGGCTACGTGGACGGCCATTCGTCGATCATCGTGTGTGTGCGTGTGGGATTAAGCCGTTGGTCGCCGTCGTGGCGTGCTTATGGATGTTGATGGTGTTTGAGTGGATGGAGCAGGAAGCAAAAGCTCGCTTTGGTCGGCTTAATAATGGTTTGCCGCGCTGGCTGATGCCGGAGCGCGACACGTATGTGGAATCGTGGATGCGGTGGAGCGCTGACCAGTGGGCAGGTGCTGCAGTACGGCCGCCGCCCTGTTTTAACTTTCTGAAAGTTCGTTGTCTGATACAATACTCTTCGGTTGAGTTTACCTAAAGGCCATACAGGTTAAGATTTACGCAGGATTCGGTTGGATTTACGAAGGGCACTGCATTGTTGTAGTAATAATACTCTTTAAATGTTTTGGTATGGATTACACGAGGACCAAAATGAGTGAACAAACACACTAAAAACATACATACAACCCGATTTTGTTTTAAGAGAACATTTTACGGAAGTGCACAGATGGAAGACCAGCAAGATTGGCTGTCTCCCAAACATGACCGATCCATCCAGGATTCCAGATGATGAACTAGTAATCCAATCCAAGTTCCAAACGGCACACATGTCTCGAAGCGGGAAGTGCCCGCTCTCGGGGTCGGGGGCGACAAAGTCAGATGCTCCCATGGCAGAAGCGGACGTCCCAACCAAAAAGAGCCCGGACGACGCTGGATGAGGATGATTAGTTAATGAACCGAGAATCTTGCAGTTTGACAAATTCGTTTCGCGCGCGCGGACGGGACGGATTAATTCTTCTTCCACCACCATTATTATGTCCCCATTGCCTAAGAGGCTAAGACTAATCGCGTGGACCACCGCTCAGTCGCTCTCGCTGGCTAATCAAAGCCACCTCCGACACATTCAGGCGACCGAACAATTCCACAGCTTCCCCGGGACGGGACGGCGAAGAACCGCGTGTGTGTATCGATGGTGGATCAGGTTAGGTGAAACGTGCCATCATGAACGGATTGTGTATATCTTGTGCCTGAAATGCAGCCCCTTGGCCGATGCACTGGAGCCGTTCGTGCATATCTAACCGGCCGAAGCCTAGCTAGCTACGCCAGCCCGTGCGGTTGCCGCTGGGAGAAGATTTATGTGCATGCCAAACAAGATTTCAATCAGCAGCTAGCGAGACAATTTCTTCCGTTGGGAGGCGTGTGCGCAGTTCCATAACTCAACTTGTTCTCCGTACGGAACAATTTGCCCCGAATTGTCACAGAACAATCATGGGAGTCTCCGCCTGAACACTCGCCAGGGTAAATCACGCAGCACCAGCTAGTGCTTGACAAGTTGTAAAGGGAGAGGAGCGATGCAAAAGCTCAGGGGCGTACGTCCCGTTCCGGAGCCGCGCCTGCCGCTAGTGGCGCTGCCACGAGCGGTCGACTCACCGGCGCCTCACTGCACACCGCATCGCACTAGCAAGCCTCCCCGAAAGGCGCGGCGGCCACTAGCGAGCGAGCGAGCAAAGCGGGCGGTGCGAGCGACGGTTCAACGGGCGGCATCATGCGCCGGCGGACGCGTGCCTCGTCCGTGCCGGCGCCGGCGGGGCCCCGAGGGCCGTGCGGCTGCTTGGAGCGGGCGCTAGCGGCCCGTCGCAAGCGGACAAGTTTGACGGTGTTTACCACTAGCACGGAATAAAGCGGATCCACTAAACAATGCCCCTCGCCGCCCTAATCTAATCTAGTCTATCTTTTCTTTTTTGGTTAATAATAATCGCCTGGGTGGACTATGCGTCCATGCTGACATTTCATTTCACATCTATGTGCGGATGAATCGGGACCAAGGCTGGTCTTGCGTTTTGGTTTGGTCCAAAGTTGTTCAAGGGAGACGGGCCGGGAGGGAAAAGTGTCATCTTTTCTTCTCCGGCGGCAATATTAGTCCTTAACTCTCACCGGTAACGCCACTAGGAGCTTTGATTTTGGACTTTGGAGGGGCGCTAGCGACCCCTGACGTCCACACCTTTGATTTGGAACCTTGGATTGAACACACGGACAGCGGCGTCCACACCTTTGGACGGCTGCCACGCCGCGCCGTCACGGTGGCATCGCGTATGAGCTACACGTCTCGCTGTTCAGCGCAGCGCTCTGTCACACGCCCTTTGCCACCGGCCATGTCGTGCTAGCTCGGCGTTGCCGTCGTGGACGGCGAGGTCGCCGGCACGGCATCTCCACCGGACTCTGCGCGGCGCGGAGCTCGGTGCGTTCGTCCCGCGTGATTGATCGGCGTTTTCTCGAACTAGATCCCCCATGGAGTGTGTCGATCGGATTGTATGATTGTATCCGGTTGAGGACATGATCCATGACGTATCAGTGTGTCACCTCACCTATCGCTATCTGTGCAACCGTACTCGTTGGGAAGCTGCGAGTTGATCTGCTGCTGCTCACGTGGAGTGGTCGTGTCCGGTGCTTATCTTGCTCGTTTTTGTTGCACGCCAGAAGCAAGCGGTGGACGAGATGGGATGGTTGATGGGCCTTGGCCCATGTAGCTACAAGCGATAAAGATAGTCCAGTCCCACGAGAGAGCCAGAGCTATATCTCGCACTTTGCGTGACCATAGCTCATCTTGTTGCCGGCCCACGTCTTTTCACGTGTTTTTTCTGCAAGCGAGTTAAATGTAAGGGCATCTCCAAAGGTAAACACCTCCCGCATCCGTCCGCTGACAGGGGTGAACCAGTCCGCAGACACAGACGCAGGAGGACGCCATCTGACCGTAACCGCATACATTTTTACAACAATTCAAATCAACCGTATGAAATTCGTGTAAATACAGCCGGATTTTCATATAACATGATGGATCTCAGTACATTTACATCAACGGTGCTAGTCCAGCTCTGGAGTATAATAATACCTAATCTAAATCACCGCCCACGGATCTGTTTGTCTTCCTTATGTCTGGCAGCCCGATCACCAGACTGCCGGGAGCCCCGGAGGTACATGCTTCAACGCAAAGGACGGCTCACTTCCCCACCACTCATCGAAGTGAAACCCCCAGCTGATGCTTCAATGGGAGGGGAAGGCGGCGCCTCCGCTTCCATGGAGCCCATGTGGGATCGACGGAGGTCCTCGAAAGAGAAGAACCGGACAAGACACCGGCTATGTACGCTGGCGACGCCTAGGCGGTGGCCTTCATGGTACCCAAGAGGCGGCGGATCACATCTTCTACTTCTCCTCGATGATGGCGGCGGACGTGAAGGCACCGACCACCGACTCATCACTTTTCGCACACCCGGCTTCTATCTCTGCCTACATGGCGCGGTCGCAGGCACGAGAGACGCGGTCACAGGCACGGGAGGCGCGATCATAGACATGGGAGGCGCGGTTGTCGACGACAACGATGACGCTCGTGCCAACGTGGAGCAACTCGCCACTCCTCATCGAGTGGGCCTGGAGCGGCGAGTTGCTGAACCACGCGGTGGCTTGGGGCGGCAACTTGCTCCGCCGGGTCAGGCGCGGGAGGTGGAGCGGCGAGCTGCCTCGCTCGTATCCGGAGGGCCACCCAGCCGGCTTGTATGTCGGAGAACTGCTCTTTGGAAGCCATTAGAAGAGTGGTGAAGGAGGAGATGTGGGGAGCGGCAGGGGGGTGATTCTTGCCCGGCATATGACCTCGTTTAAATAGACGGCGGATGGGAGGAGCTCGGTAGACGTTGCGTTTAGTGTCAGCCCGCTCATGAACGGACTTGTGGCTGCAGTAGGTTTCTCGACTTTCACGCGGGTTTAATGAAGGCATATGAATGCAACGAGAAGGCGTGTTCAGTCGGACCTGCAACGGACAGTGCCCTCGGCCGATGAGCCGCTTCAGTGGCGGAGGCAGTGAGAGATCGTGTCCGCCCTAAGCCGCCTTCAATGCAGAGCGGCGCACTTTATAGCGGCATGAATGCGCGTAGTTAGCGTTGGGCGGGGTGCACGCGCAAGAGGGGGTAGGGCTTTTTGGTGGGCTAGGGCGGCTAGAAGCGGGCGTGGGATTGCTGTGGACTCCTACAAACCTCCCCCATATTTATCTCTGGTTTGCAGAAGAAATCGCGTCCGGACCACGCTACAGACCGATACATGTCGGTGTTGGATGGCTTCCGCGGTCCGAACATCATGGTCCGGATAGATGCGGGCGGTTTACGGGTCCGCCTTACATATGCCCTAAGTTGTGAGAACCCCTCTGACAGACCAACAGATATTAGAGTATAGGTTGGACTGCTGGGTCTAGCATTGGATGTGGGATACTGCCTCTCAAAAGTCTCGTCTTTGTCTACCTAGCCACTCCATTCGTTCCTTTATATAATGTGTATTTGTTTTTTAATAAAATTCTAGAATGTATGATACATTTCTTCTAATTCCTTATAATTCTCTTGTTAGCCCTTTAAAAAAAGGAAAGTATATGTCTACTGATTGTCTGTATCTCTTTTTGTAGCACAAAAATGAAACTATCTCTATGTCGATTGCATGTATCTCTTACTTTTCTGGACTAACTGATTTACTTGCCACTAACCAATAATTTTGCCAAGGGTAATTTCATCCTAACACATCTATAATTATGTGCCTTGGTCACCGTGCCGAAAATAGTACACCTTAAATAAAGAAATAAAGGAAGAACTTGACAAGAGAAGTTTAGTAGCAAAAGGGTGTGACTAGGGCTCATGTGTAAAGTACACAAATCTCTGCAGTGTAAAAACTGATCATGATTAGCCGTGTCACTGGTTACTAACAACTACTAGTAAGCTGGTACGTGCATAGCACGTGCAAAGTTTTAATTCATGTGTTTCGATGAAAAATTAAGGAATCAGCCGTCTTGTTTTGTGTGTATGTAAAGCTCTTGTGATAATTATTATAGTGGGATAATTTCATGAACCAGTACTACAATGGTGTTCCGATGCGCTTAATTTATTTAGCAATGAAAAAAAAGATTTCTCATAATTACATTTGTTCCTAGAACTTTTTATGTAATCTTTAAAAAAATTTGAGAAAAATATACATACCAAAAGATACATTTGAAGCTAGTGTATGCTCTAATCACAAGGCTACGTCTAATGAGCTGCTAATTCTGCACAGGGGATTCCCGTGAAGCCTTTGGGGACAGGCAGACAGCATCACCTGTTCATTAAAACACTGGTAATATTTCAGCTTCTAGAGCCATCGTTCGGCCTAGGCAAGGTCTTGCAAGTACTGTCGTCCACGTGACCTACAGTCAACGCCTCCGGAGGGCCTAGAATTTTTTGGAATAAAGTGAGATGATACATTGATACTGTAGACACGAATCCCTTCGTTTTGAGCCATAGGATTGACACTGATCAACGGCTCAAGTTGCTTCTCAGGCTTAGGATTCAAAATTTCAAAACTCATGCACTATATAGTAGTAAAGATGAGCAACTTTATAATAAACTATCAGCTTGATCTCATCACGTCTTCTTAATTAAAATTTAATGGATTGAACAAGGGAATATTGACTAACCCAGGTGCCATCTATGGTGTGGTCGGCTAACCTGTTGAACTGGTCTAGGGCGTGCTAGCACTGAATGGGAGAACAATCTTTTCACTACGTGCCAAACTATGCGCAGGCCATGGAGGTGGAGGAGACTATAACTCTAAACCCTAGGGACAATGTTGTAGGGTAACACAACATAAAAAAAATCATCCTATGCACCAGCCCAGGACCACTATGAAGATGCATACAAGGTTTGATCTGATCGTTACTAACTCATAGCGCAACAGAAGTAGAGTTAGTGAAGATCATTGATCCAGATCCCCGCAGCTAGGAATTTACAACCTCCCAACCGCATGGATTTTCTCCCTCGAGCGGTCCCTCGGACAACCCCTCGAATAGAAGATTGAACATACAATCTCTCTACCGAGTTGCACACATACGGTGTCACCTATCTAGTAGGGTTTGCTATTCAGAACTAATCCCTGCCAGAGACTATACAACCTTTCTGCGCTATGGAACTATTTCGTGGAGGGAGAGAAAGAATGGTAGATCATTGCATGCCTTGTGGTGAGAAAACTTGAGTGAAGTGGAAAGCCCTCTCCACCTATACTTATAGTGTGAGCAAGGGATGGAGGAAGGCATGCAGATGAAAGCCCAAAGTCCCCCCTGATAACCCACAAGTATATGGGATCAATTGTAGCCTCTTTCGATAAGTAAGAGTGTCGAACCCAACGAGGAGCTAAAGGCAGAACAAATATTCCCTCAAGTTCTATCGACCACCGATACAACTCTACGCACGCTTGATGTTCGCTTTACCTAGAACAAGTATGGAACTAGAAGTACTTTGTAGGTGTTGTTGGATAGGTTTGCAAGATAATAAAGATTACGTAAATAAAAATAGGGGCTGTTTAGATAAAGACACAACTAGATTAGTTTTAGTAAAGAGCTTTTTGTTATGAGAAAGTTATTTGTCCCTAGGCAATCGATAACTAGACCGATAATCATTATTGCAATTTTATATGAGGGAGAGGCATAAGCTAACATACTTTCTCTACTTGGATCATATGCACTTATGATTGGAACTCTAGCAAGAATCCGCAACTACTAAATATCATTAAGGTAAACCCCAACCATAGCATTAAAGCATCAAATCCTCTTTATCCCATACGCAACAACCCCCTTACTCGGGTTTGTGTTTCAGTCACTCACGCAACCCACTATAAGCGGATCATGAACGTATTGCAACACCCTACAGCGGGGATCCCTCATGCTTGCGTGACACGTAGAGCACCATAGGACAGCACCAATAATAAAACACGCAACTCAAACCAATCTTGATCATCAAACAGCCCATAGGACAAAACAGATCTACTCAAACATCATAGGATAGCCATATATCATTGGGAAATAATATATAGCGTTGAGCACCATGTTTAAGTAGAGATTACAGTGGGTAAGAGAGAGGTTACACCGCTGCATAGAGGGGGGAAGAGTTGGTGATGATGGCGGTGAAGTTGTTGGTGAAGATTGCGGTGATGATGATGTCCCCCGGTGGCACTCCAGCGCCACCGGAATCGAGGGAGAGAGAGCCCCGTCCTTCTTCTTCTTCCTTGACCTCCTCCCTAGATGGGAGAAGGGTTTCCCCTCTGGTCCTTGGCCTCCATGGCATGGGAGGGGCGAGAGCCCCTCCGAGATTGGATCTGTCTCTCTCTGTTTCTGCGTTCCCAGATTCTTCCCTTTCATCGTTTCTTATATTCCCGGAGATCCATAACTCCGATTGGGCTGAAATTTTAACACGATATCTATTCGGATATTAGCTTTCTTGCGGCGAAAGAATGGCATCAACCGCCTTACGAGGGGCCCACGGGGGTGGGGGCGCGCCTGCGTGTAGTGGCTGTGGGCCCCACCCTCGTGGCCACCTCGGGCACCGTCTCGCGTTGATTTTCTTCCCAAAAATCACAAATATTCCAAAATAATTCTCCATCCGTTTTTATCCCGTTTGGATTCCGTTTGATATGGATATTCTGCGAAACCAAAAACATGCAAAAGACAGGAACTGGCATTGGGCATTGGATCAATATGTTAGTCACAAAAATAGTATAAAAAGTTGCCAAAAAGTATATGGAAGTTGTAGAATATTGGCATGGAACAATCAAAAATTATAGATACGACAGAGACGTATCAGCATCCCCAAGCTTAATTCCTGCTCGTCCTCGAGTAGGTAAATGATAAAAGAGATAATTTTTGATGTGGAATGCTACCTAGCATAATCTTGATCACATATCTAATCATGGCATGAATATTAAGACACGAGTGATTTAAAGCAATAGTCTATCATTTAACATAAAAACAATAATACTTCAAGCCTACTAATAAAGCAAAATCATATAACATGGCCAAAGAAAGTTATCCCTACAAAATCATATAGTCTGGCTATGCTCCATCTTCACCACACAAAATATTCACATCATGCACAACCCCGATGACAAGCCAAGCAATTGTTTCATACTTTTGATGTTCTCAAACCTTTTCAACTTTCACGCAATACATGAGCGTGAGCCATGGACATAGCACTATAGGTGGAAAAGAATGGTGGTTGTGGAGAAGACAAAAAGGAGAAGATAGTCTCACATCAACTAGGCGTATCAACGGGCTACGGAGATGCCCATTAATAGATATCAATGTGAGTGAGTAGGGATTGCCATGCAACAGATGCACTAGAGCTATAAGTGTATGAAAGCTCAAACTGAAACTAAGTGGGTGTGCATCCAATTTGCTTGCTCATGAAGACCTCGGGCATTTGAGGAAGCCCATCATCGGAATATACAAGCCAAATTCTATAATGAAAATTCCCACTAGTATATGAAAGTGATAACTCAAGAGACTCTCTGTATGAAGAACATGGTGCTACTTTGAAACACAAGTGTGGTAAAAGGATAGTAACATTGCCCCTTCTCTCTTTTTCTCTTTTTTTTATTTTTATTTTTTATTTTGTTGGGCCTTCTCTTTTTTTTGGCCTTTCTCTTTTTTTTTTCGTACGGAGTTTCATCCCGACTTGTGGGGGAATCATAGTCTCCATCATCCTTTCCTCACTGGGGCAATGCTCTAATAAGGATGATCATCAC